AGTCTTCTAGATGTTTGACTTCCATTCTTTCTACTTTAAAATGTCCTTCCAAAAAATATTCCGATGAGGAATATTGAAACAGTGGTGTCAATCGGATGTATATTCTAAAGGTCTACTCCAAAATCTTCAATCTCAATCATTATAATTTTAGTATTATTACCAGCCAGCCCAGTAGTTAGGTCTCCTGTGTTGACATGAATTATCATTGATATGGTCATACTTATAAATTACCTGTTTACAAAACTTTGAATTTTTAGAAATTTTAAAGGATTTTCTACTTAATTTCTAAAAAATATCCATTTTATTTAGAAATTTACCTTTGACGTTACTTTTTGTGGCGTTGATCCATTCGAGTTACAGACACCCACTTCGTAATTCTATTAAGCTGTTTTTGTGTACTGTCCTAAATTATTTTAGTTATTCGTTGTTATTCTGTGGTTAACATGTCGAAATGTACTATTATATTATTTATTTATGTATTTCTCTGTCTTTGGTGTTTTAGCATTTATTTGTTTTCTGTTCCCGTCATGTAATGTTGTCATTTTAGCGGTATATTTAACATTGCCATAAAGCGCTGAGGTTTGGCTAGCCACAAAACCAGGTTCAACCCACCATTTTATCTTAAAATGTCCTGTACCAAGTCAGGAATATGGAAGTTGTTATTTAATAGTTCGTTTCTATGAATGTTGCATTGTTGTTTGTTTTTTGTTGCACTTCTGTGTTCTGTTATTTCGTTGTTTTCCTCTTATAGATGATGTGTTTCCCTTGGTGTTAGTTTGTAACCCGGATTTGTTTTCTCTCAATCGATTTATGACTTTTGAACAGTGGTATACTACTGTTGCCTTTATTTATTCTACCCCAGGAATAGATTACCTTAGCTGTATTTGGCAAAACCTTTCGGAATTGTGTGTCCTCAATGCTCTCCAACTTCGTTCTTTATTTGGCATTTTAACTTTTTGATTCAAGCATCACTGATGAGTCTTTTGTTGATAAACGCGAGCCTGGCGTACACAATTTTAATCCTGGTATCTATGATGAGTTTATAATCAAACTTTCCCATGTTCAATTGAAAGGTCACGTATATCTTTGTTACTATTGCCTTTTCTACAAAAACAGGAATCGAAGATACAAATTCCTTGCTTTAGGATAGGAAAAGTATTACTTTGTGAGGACCACACTGCAAACACACCAAAGATGATATCATCAAAATGCAGAACTTTTTAATCGACAGTAAATTTATAAAAATACGGAGATGTGGTATGATTGTCGATTAATATTTTCAAGTAATGTCACAGGAAAAGGAGAGCGCAAAAACTCTCGTTTACTGTTAACCTAACATGATTAACAGAAGATAATCTTGAGCAGGTTTGTCATTTCCTGGCATTGCCCGGTAATATTTCTTCATATCCACGTGCATCTTTGTTTAATAATCTGACCGCATTGCGACCTATGATACAATTATAAAAAGTGCTCAATTTAGAACGAGAGTTTCGATTGATGCTGGTTAGATTTATGTTAGAAATGCGTTTTTTTCAGCACTTGAAAATCCGTGGAGTTGTGGTATATTTATATAAAAATAAGAAGATGTAGTATTATTGTGAATGAGACAATTATTCACAACAGTTCAAATAAGTGAATATAAGTAATTATAGGTCACCATACGGCCTTCGGCAATTAAATGCCCGGCATAAGAAATGTGAAATAATTTAAACGAGAAAACTTACGGCATAATGTATAATAAAATAATTTACGAAAAACAAACAGGACAGATAATAACCCCTAAAATACAGGCTCCTGACATGGGTCGGGCACATCAAGCATGTGGCAGGGTTGAATATGTTTGTGAGAGTTCAACCCCCCCTCCCCAACCTGGGACAGTGAAGTAACAGCAAAACTTAAGAACAAACTGTAAAAATCAGCTGCAATTAGCTTAACTCAAAAGATTGAACGCTCACAAAAACAACTAATATAAAAACAATAAACTCAAAGCGCCGATATAAGAGTATTTGCAGTTACTGAAAGCTAGTCAATTACTAATAGATAAATCATGTTCTTCAAAACTAAAGAATCAATCAGTACACATCCAACGGATTTAGTTTAAAGACGTCATTACAGTCTGATAAACGCATTACCTTGTGCAATGCCAAAATATAATAGACAGTATTGACAGGATGTAGGCTCATGCGTTCTCATAACTGTTTTTTTTCTGTCTCTTCAAATCATGATAAATTAAAGGGTTTAGAGATAATTAATTGACACCGAAAGTCATAACATTTTATAAGGATTACAATAACGGAATATATAAAAAAGAAGTAGAACAGTCGAATGATTCTTTAAAAAAAAATAATAATCTGCACGACACAAAGACACAAGCAAAACATAACAGACATATAACAAACACAGGGCAAATACAGAAAGTATAAGAATTCTTAGTAAAATCATAACTAGATTCAAAGATAATACATGGTAATAAATATAAAGAAATATAATAATGATATACTATTTTGATAGATTGATATTTTAACAACCAGTCGTCTTTCCAATGGGCACACTTGTTTTTGTACTCATCTGAATCAGAATTCGTTAAAAAAAACCTTCACTCAATAACTCACATTTTAGTGAGTGCTTGCATCTCAAATTTCCTAGTGAACTTGAAATTAACTCTACTACTGACACTAAAAAATTATGATCATGATCTTTTCCAGATATTGACACAGATGGACGACATAAAACTAGAATCTTTGACTAATCTAATGATTTCAGCTTTCCCGTAGTCAACTTCCATTTCTCAGCAGTAACATACCCTCTGTCCCATCGTATGGCGTTTACGTTTCTGAATTGATACGTTTACGCTATGTTCACATTATACGTACAACATTGACAGCGGTGTGTGCTGGTGTTTTTGAGGAATAACGAATGCAATCATCACTACATAGGTTTTACGGTCACCATCACGAATTGGTCGACTGATACGGCGTGTCTGTGTCTCAATTCACTAGCGACATGTTTTCACGGTCTTACATTTTTAGAAATTTTTACGAAGTGTGGATGAGCATGCTGGTGATGCATGCATTGCAGGAGACGCTGAGCCTGTCGACGGATCCTATCTCGCTCTTTTTGGAGTTTATGCGATTACTGCAGGTTTTTTAACTTAATTTATTTTCTGAATCAATTTATGACATTTGAACATGTGTAGACTACTGTTGCCTGTATTAAACATTGACTACATATTACAAATTGAAATGAATTTAAAATATCAAAAAGTAAAAAACACAACATAAAAAGCAATACTAGACTGGTGATGTCGTTGTCGTCAAATGTAAGGATGGCGATTTATGTATGAAGCATCATACAACTCATTTTGTTGCAATGATATACATGTATTTCTAAACAACCGAAAATGTCACAGTGTTTGTTTATTATCTTCATTTGTCTTCTTAATCGATTTATGAGATTTGAACATTGGTCAAAAACTGTATATATACCGCTATATTTTATACTAAACATTTGAATTGAAAATTATATTAACTGCGGATCGAAGATTTAATGCGAAAGGTTTTTATACATTTTCTATATAGTGTAGTGGTTTTGTAATTTCCCATATTACTATTTGAGTAATGCACGAATATTATACAAATTGCAAACTTTAGTCTATATAATAGTGAATTTAACATTTTACAAAGAACACAACTACTGACATTTTTTGCCACCTAAAATGACGTCTGAATTGATGAAATGTGTTGGTTTGCTTCTATTCAATTTATTATATAATTTATCCACCCTTGCTTACTTGGACTTGTTTGAGTAATACATTTTATTTCTCCTGTAAGGTAAGGTGGATTTACATTTTATATCTACAACATAAAATAGGACCCTTGATGCAACTCTCGTTTCTTATGCGCAACATTATTAATTGCAAATCAAAACAAAAATTTCAAGTTCCATAAAAAAACTCAATCTCTCTAAAACATGGTCTGAATTCAAATATTGATTTCCTTCCCAAATATTTAAATCACAAATCTTTGAATTTGGTTGCTGATTTCTGTAATATTTTCATCAAAATAAATTTTACCCTTTGGTCAATAACAGTATTTTTTTCATTTGACTCAATGAAACTTTTAAAAAATATTATGGGTTATTCAATGACCGCTTAAAATATTAAAATCAATCTAATGGAAGCTTTTTTTTTTATGAAACGTGTGAATACATGCAGCATTATTCAACTCGTTCAAAGACATTCTATTGCGTGTTCTTTGTATCTGTGTTTTGAAAATTAATTAGTTTGAACCTGTTCCTTATTTTTCAGACTTAAATGCATTAATCTATATTATTTCAGAGCATCGATATAACCCAATAAAACCTGGAAGCCACTTGAAAAGCCCAGACATATGTAAATTAATTTCATTTAGTCTCAAAATGTTCTTTCTCATGCAATAACAAGTGTGTAAATACTTATTAAAACGACACCAAATTTACTTTTAAAAGAGAAAAAGAAGTCTTCCGTCAATATTCAGTATCATAAATCGGTTCATAACTACAAATAAGGAGAAAACGGTATGCTTGACAATCAGACAACTATCTAACAGAGTGAAGATGAAGCGGAATTAAGCAACTATAGGTCACTGAACTGCCTTCAACAATGAGTAAATCACATACCGTATAGTCAGTCATCGGAGCCCCGAAATGACAAAATCTGAAACAATTGAAACGAAAAAAGCAATGGTCTTATTTATGATAAAGCAATAAACGAAAAACAAATATAATAAACAGCAACCAACGACATTACTGAATTACAGACCCTGATTAGGGAAGGCACATATATAATGTTTCGGGTTTAAACATGCTCATGAGCGCTCAACCCTTCCGTAACCCGGGACAGCGGTGTTACAGCGCCACATAAAATAAACTGTAAAAATCAGTTGGAAATTTTCTTTACCTTCGTTGTGGAAATCGCTTATGCCTAAAATGGTAATATGATGTATATTTATAATTTCAGAGTAGAAAACAGTGAGACTGAATGGCTGAAACAAAAATACCTGTAGTTGCGATTGATTTTGGAAGTTCCGGTGTAGGATATGCATTCTCATTTGCATACCAATATAAAAACAATCCTTTGGATATCTCCACATCGGTATGGAATAATGGAAACGGACCAGTTCATACAAAAGTTCCGGCTGTTCTTCTGTTTGATCCGGATAAAAAGTTTCACTCATTTGGATTTGAAGCCGAAGACAAATATGAAGAGCTGCTAAACGCAAATAAAGCAGATCAATGGTATTTTTTGAAAAGGTTCAAAATGCAGTTGTATAGTGCTGTAAATGCCGGAGAGGTATTTATTTCTAATTCATGAACCCTTTTTGAAAAGCTTTATTTTCTCAGAGGTATAGTTTTCAGTTTCTTGGTTTGGCTCGAATTGAGTCTATTTGTCTGAATCCAATTCAAGCAACATTTCGTTAACAGAATATGGCAGACAGCAGCGAACAACAAGAACTGGATTACAGGTATTCCTATGGGCACCAATTGCGCCCCTGTAATGGCAGACTTGTACCTGTATTGTTTTGAAACACAGTGTATGGCCAAACTAAATAAAGACACGTCTAAATTCCATTTTAATTGATAAATTCAACAGCACTTACCGTAATCGTGATGAAATTTGTTCGTTAAATAATCAAGAATTCTCTAAATATACTGTCGAAATTTACCGAAAGGAACTTACTTAGAATAATTGAAATATAAACAGAAGTTATGGTCCTTTCCTAGATTTAGATAGTCAATTTTATCCGCGTCTGGCGTATCAAAGTATATCTTGGTATCTATGATGAGTTTATTTACACGGGAAACTTTACACAAAAATTTACAACAAAAGGGTCGATTTTTCCTTCCCTTTTGTTAGTTTTTTTTCTTTTTTGGACTGTTGTATTCCTTTCGTACGATGGTTTATATATTCCAACTCGTTCGCTATATATATCTGTCCGTGTCCGTAGTGACGTTTTAGATTTCAATGAACGTGATTTATGTATTATTGGTAAATTATTAAGTCAAGAATTTCGAACGCACAACCTCTCGCAGTAAATGGGAAACCCCTTAAATGAATCGAGTTGCTTAAATAAAACGCTGCATTAATAAAGTTTCCCATATTTGATATACAAATCACTTTTTCAAAATTGAAATTAAAAAAAAAACATTTTAGTTTCTATTTTCGAATGATAATTGTATTACACTGCCATGTAGGCATTCGTTAAACGTACGGTAAGTAGATTTGACAAATATTTTTATTTTTTAGAATGTACTAGTATACAAAATGATTCAGATGGATTTTAATTATCCACATTAGACTACTTTCGGTGTATCATCTTTTAAATACATATTCAATAAATTTAGGATGCAACTTATTTAAAACATTTTTAATTTTTTCAATATCGTATGAACAAATGTCTTCATTAGCAATGCATAGCCCTGAATTATATTTTAATGTCATGGATACAAGTAAAATTGTGAAAAGTGGTTTAGTGTATCCTTTACCTTTCTAATAATCAAATTCCACAAGATTTCATCATTTTTAGGTTTTGACCCCGTGTATGGAAACACTTTCAAGGAAAATTACTTCTTTTTAACATGGAACACGAAAAAGGTCCAATGTTCATATAAAATGACTTGTGTTGATTATAAACATTTAATACATAGTCAGATCATTTGCTTTCCTTTCTGGAGCATTTTAATATAATAGTAGAATTCCTGTTGTTAATCTTTAGACGTTATTATTTAAAGTTTAAGGAACTGTTGCTTGTCCTTCGATTTTTTTTCTTTTAGTCATTTGTTTCGTCTTTCAACCTTCTACTTATGAGTTTTTACCCCGCTTCAACAAGCACCTGTCTGTGTAAAAAAAATATACCTAAGTAAAGGTATATAGGTGTTTTCTTTACAGAGACAAGTGCCTGGGCCAACTTCATATCTTATTGCGCTCGAATTGTAGTTGTATCAAAGATAAAAGTCCATAAAATATCTCAAACAGGACAGGATATAAGAGTAGATTTTGAATTGCTGGATGTTGGCGGAAAAAGTATATCTGCAAAAGCTGTTTTTTCTGCTGCAATTGGCTTTTTGAAAGACCATTTTGTTCAGCAAATGCAGTGGAGAAAGCTTGGCACGGTTGAAGACGACATATTTTGGGTAGTTTCTGTACCATCAATATGGAATGATTCCGCAAAACAGTTTATGAGAGAATCAGCTGAAAAGGTATACGGTATTTGCGCAAGCTCTGAAATCGTATATAACGATACAGGTGGCTTTGTTGTCATGATTACCAAACCTTCAAAGTTTTTTGTAAGTTCGTGTTGAGGGATTCAGCTGAAAAATTCAAGATACCTTACAAGTTATGAATTCTGGTAAACTGAAAATTTAAATTGCGTATTAAAGATAAAAAAAAAAAATGGGATACCGATTCTCCTTTTCTTGTCTCGATTAACATAAAATACAACGTTTTTAAAATACAATATCACACGGTAATATTTAGCTACATGCTTGTAAAATACTTCGACTACGTTTCCAATATTTTTTCTGGTAATTCATTTATTCTGACTACGAATATTTTTAAATTAGCACTTGTTCATTTTTTTTCTCACCAACAATGCCCGAATGTTATATTTAGTAAGAAAATACAGTTGTGTTCGGTATAGTCGAAAATATGTAAGTGTAGTAGAATGAAATGACAATAATAAGTAAGTGGATTTCATTTGAAGAGTTGCTGGCATCATAAGTAGTTTTGACAATGCGGGTAAATCAAGAGCTACACAGCAACAACAAAAATGAAGTATGAATATAATACTGCGATTATAAAGACATCTAAACGAAATGCGCTTAAGTACAATAGACTCTAAAAAGTCACAAGAATCTTATCCCTAGCCTGGATGCTTTTGGGGCAGATGTCCAGTTAAACTTGGTAGATTATTTCGAACTATGATATTTATACCCTTATTAACCTCTATGAAAATAGTAAAACTTCTTTTTTGGGTCCCATTCGTAAAATAATTGGGCATTGGTTTCTTTGACCAAGCTTAATCGGTTGATCTCCTATTGGACAATTGTCCAATCATTACGTTGAAATTAACCAGTATTATCTTATTTGTACCTCTCTTGAAACCTTAAAGGGCCATATCAAACCTTTTATGGCAAGAGTTTCTCCGACCAAGCCTTACCCGATTTGTCTAAGGGATCTATCAAGTTATGATGCTGAAAAATTAAAAATTATGTTTGCGCCATGATAATGCAACAATTTGCCTTCTAAAATATTACAAAACATGTTTTCCATCTAGAATTATGTAGTAAACCCCATCCCTCTTGCTTTCCTTCCGCCTTGTTGGTCTCGTAGAAGATTGCTCGTCTCGAGTGCGTGAGGTCGTGGGTTCGATCCCAGGTTGGGGTGTTGGGGGGATACAACCAAAGACTTTAAAATTGGTATTTGCTGCTTCCCTGTTAAGCACGCATCATAAATGATAGGATGACGCGTTCTTGCGGACTGTTAAGCGTGTCTGTCTTGTACAAATAAAGGCTTATTAATATGTCACGTTAACGCTAAAAAGGCATGTCATCGCCTTATTTCCTACACTTCGGCTACAGATAGAGGCAAGCGTAGTAGGATGGATTTAAATGAGGGGTTTGACATCGACAACCCTGACCTACTAAGCACACCACCGCATACGTCGTCCTTGAAATCAACACCAAAAGAGGCTACAAGCTACCATACTATCCGAGCGACCAAACACTCCGTACCAGCAACAACACAGCAGTCGAAGCAAAATGAAAGCTAACAGACAAGCAGAACCAACTCTGCGACAATGGGCATGATAGTCCGCAATATCATAATGGATAGCCGGACCCTAAAACTCATAAATCATCATCAACGTTAACATTTTCTCGTCCTGAATATGCATTTAACTTGCCACTGGACGTTAAAAAGCGATCAATCAATCAACCAATCTATTACTAGTAATTAATCAATCAATCAATCATCCGATTAATCTTTGGGTTCCTTTAAAGAACCCCTTAATGGACCTTATGTTAAACAAAGAATACTTTGCTGTGTGGATGCAGTAGAATGTGTCCCCGTGCTTGTGGTGTATGCCCTTATATTTTTCAATTATGGGTTTTTTGCCTGTGAGAGAGCTTTCACAGGTTTATTATATCTTTGTTCTTAATTGTCAATTATATATTATGGTGTTTGGATGTATAAATACTCATCCACGCCTGCTATTTTTATTATTGCCCCCTGCTATGGTTTTACTAAGATTTCTTACAATCTCTGTTTTTGCCCTGTGTTTGTTATATGTCAGTATTGTAATACTTAAGTCTTTACGTCGGGCCTTTTATAACAGTTTTTGTAAGATTTCTTTTACTGCTTTGCCTATTATTTCCTATTCCGTAATTGTGATCCTTATTCATTGTTACAACCTCCGGTCTTTTTTATTTTTCCTATACCCCTATTTAATTATCATGATTTTATGTAATGGAAAGAAAATTATTAACAACACAACTTCTAGGATATCCACGTGCTTAAACAAACGTATTTGTAATGCCTCTACAGCCAGATTGTTTAACAAAAATGCGCGTGGATATCCACAAATTTTCCCGTGCAATGCCAAAAAGTGACTAACCTGTTTTAGAGTAACTTCACAAAATACTGTACGGTCAACAGCGAACGGGAGAGCTTTTTCGCTCTCCTTTTCCTGTGACATTACCTGAAAAACTCAAAACCTTATATATGTGGTAACTTGAACCCAACCTTAGTGTGGTATTCAATATGTGGGACAGACGGGACGAGCGTATTACAAAAGAAATCAAGAACACCTTTACCGCTTTCGTAGACCCAAAAAATTCAAAAGTTTGATATATCAACATTTAGATAAGCATAATAACAATCTAAAATTTATTAAATTCCAACCACTTGAAACCGTTCAAAAACCGTAATCAACGTATTAAACATCGTATAAATTATACACTTGCTGATCTGTTATCTATAATAAAAAATAATGGCAGACATCAAGTATTATGCAAACTGGGTCAGATACCAATAAGTAAATTATATGCTATTTTTCTGGAGTGTGATACAATTTTTTTTTTTAGCCCAATGTATGAATATACCCGTATTATTACAGCCTTTTGTCATCATAGGCTATTTCCTAGTATCGATAAACCTGAAAATCATAAACGGCATTTTCTTAAATTAAAATATATAAATAGAGGTATTGATTTTATTAACTTATCTAGTATATTCAATGACTCTACCATCCAAAGCCAAATACCTCCATATTTTGATAATATAGAACCACCTATTATTTCGTACTCTCATAAAAAAACCAGCAGAAGTTTGATTTTAAATTATACGTCAGTTACATCAGACGTCAATATAGAAAATTATGTTCCTTCCACTTGAGATTGTGAAACATCTAGTTTTAGATATGTTCCCTATGGTCATGTCCTTACAGGAGACCTCAACATCGTCGAAGGCCGTGAGGTCATAACTTTTCTTAAGAAAGGACCGAAATATCGTCCTCCATCTAAAATAGATTGGAAACAGTGTCGTCAGATCATTAAAGACGCTCTGTCTGTCTACTGTAAAAATTGGTGTAAACGTGAAAAATCTGATAAAAAATCTCTAGACAGTTATTTGAATAAAATTATGAATACTGTTAATATTCGTATATCTCATTTTGAAAACAATTCTGAAATTAGTAATAGGGTTCATGATATTCCCATTTCCAGAATAAAAAATAAACTCCAAGTACTCGCAAAGCGGTTTGTGTTCGTACCGGCAGACAAAGCAGCAAATAATGTAGTGGTGGTGTGACGCATATACTACACGGAAGTTCTCCAAAACGAAATTACAAATTCATCTACATTCAGGTCCGTACGCTCCACCGAGAGTCATATTGTAAACAAGCATATCATTGCCACTACCCAGCTTAAAGCCTCTTCCGAACATTTGAAAGTCCCTACTATGTACTGGTTACCTAAATTGCACAAAAAACCATTTAAATTCCGTTTCATCTCCGCATCTAGTAAGTGTTCTACTACCAATCTATCAGTGCTTCTAACTACCTCCCTTACTACTATCAAAGAACTTGTTATTAACTTTTGTAATAAAGCTTATGAAAATAATGGTATTAATAATTTTTGGAGTGTTAAAAATTCTTTAGAGGTTTTAGATAAAATACATGCTTTTGATGGTCCTTTTAATTCTGTTGACAGTTATGATTTTTCTACTCTCTATACTACACTTCCACACAATCTTATCAAGAAAAAGTTTTCATATTTAATTAAATGGTCTTTTGAAAAATCTCATTACAAATTTATTTGCTGTAACTCGTTTAAACCCTTTTTCTGTAACGAAAAAGGAAAGTATGGTAGATACACTTACTGGAAATGTAAAGATATGATTGAAGCTTTAAATTTTCTCCTGGACAACATATATGTACGTTTCGGCGATAAAGTGTATCGACAAGTAGTAGGTATTCTTATGGGCACTAACTGCGCCCCTTTAATAGCAGATTTATTCCTGTATTGCTAAGAATCTCAGTTTATGACAAAACTCAGTAAAGCCACGTCATCGTTACATTTGGTTGATACATTCAACAATACCATCCGTTATCTAGATGATTTTTTTTCGTTAAATACTCCAGAGTTCTCTAAATATACTACCGAAATTTACCCAATAGAACTTAATTTAACTAAATCTAACCTAAACAGCAGTAGTTGTCCTTTTCTAGATTTGGACATTTCAATCTCTAAAGGAAAACTCCATACGAAAATTTACGACAAAAGAGACGATTTTTCATTCCCTATTGTTAATTTTCCTTTTTTAGACGGCGATGTTCCTTTGGCTCCATCATACGGTGTTTATATCCCAACTCGTTCGTTATGCCCGTGTGTGTAGTGATGTCATAGATTTTAACGAACGTAATCAATGCATCACTGGTAAATTATTAAGTCAGTGATTTCGTTACCATAAATTACGTAAAACTTTTGCTAAATTCTTTCATAGATACAAAGATTTGATTAGTAAATTTGGCTGTACTTGTAGAACACTGATTAAAAACGGTATTTCACATCCTAAATTTTACGGTAATATTGTACTTAAAGCGCGGAAATCACTATGTGATCCGTGTAAACTCATCGAACCTTTAAACAAATTTATTAGTAAGGGTTATCTTACCAATGTTGTAATTAGATCTTTGAATATAGTTTACATTGGCACTAATATCGATTTTGTCATCAGCAAATTAAAACATAACTAATTTGTATTCCTTTCAAACGGGATGTATAAAGACACACCCACGTTCGTTTTGATCTATAAAGAGGTTAAACATCTAACTATCCTACTGTCTGTCGATACATTTATTTTTGGCATTGCACTAGTTATGTCTTCTTTGACTGTCCATGACGTTAAAATACTAAATCCCTGGGATGTGTTTTAGTTGATTTTAGTCTCTGATGCATGATTTTTTATTATTAATTGTTTTGGCTTTTAACTAGCTGTCAGTAACTGCGAGTACTCTCAAATCGTACTTTCTTGTTTATTTGACCTGTTGATACTAATTGTATTGCTTTTTTGTTATTTAATGTTATTCAGGGTTATATCTGGTCTATATACCAGCTTTGATAAGTGTTTGGTATTACAATATATTCGTACTATGAACATCAAAATTATTTATTTTGTAAAAATATTTCCTTCCTCTATTGGGACTGTACACGTATAATATGTCCTTTGATTGAGTTAAGCTATTTCAGTTAATATTTTATAGTGTGTCTTTCTATGTTGTGATGTTACACTATTGTTTCGGAAAAAGGGTGAAGGTTTGGTACCATTAAAACGTTTAAACCCGCTGCATTTGTTTGCACCTGTCCTAAGTCAGGAATCTAATGTTCAGTAGTTGTCGTTTGTTGATATGGTTCATAAGTGTTTCTCGTTTCTCGTTTTTTATATAAATTAGACCGTTGGTTTTCCCGTTTGAATGGTTTTACACTAGTAATTTTTGGGGCCCTTTATAGCTTACTGTTCAGTGTGAGCCAAGGCTCCGTGTTGGAGACCGTACTGTGAACTATAATGGTTTACTTTTATAAATTTTGACTTGGATGGAGTGTTGTCTCATTGGCACTCATACCACATCTTCTTAAATCTATTTTATGCATATTTAAAGATGTAAGTTCAGTGCACTTATACCGAAGACTGATGGTTTTCTAGAAATGTCGCGCACACACAGGCGCTTGTCTTTGTAAAACAATTTAACTTTATACATTTACCGTTTTAAGTGAAGGTATACTGTTAACCAGCTAATTTTCGCGAGCAATTCATTTTCACGAATTTCGCTAGTAGAAAAAATAAGCGAATATAAATCGTCGCGAATATGTAAAACTTAGATCTTTCCTTATTTAACTACATCAAGTAAATTTGAAAATCGAGAAATTAAATTGCCGCGAAGTGGGCTAGAAAGGGCTAAACGCGAAATAAAGTATCCGCGAAAAAAAGTTGGGTTACAGTAATGGTATATCTTTGACAGAGACACTGGGCTGTGGACTAGTTTATGTACGAGAAAACAATATGATCAAGATAATAATAATAATTATAATAAGTACATGTAAACTATGTTAGGAAAATAACTCAACAACAGTTGTATGTGTCATAAGTCAGAAACACAGAAAACAAGAAACCAATAAGATAATAAGTTTGAACTTTCCGATGCGCAATCCAGTCAAAACGGCATGCTAATAACTTTAATGTTTTTATTCCATATGCATTGTAGAAGATCATGAGTTTGCGCAGCGCTAAGATATAAGTTTCAACAGGATGTTGCACTATAAGTGTTATTTGCTTATGTAGTTTAAGTATGCACATTCAGGACGAGATGAATATGAACCCACTTTGTACTAGACCGACACGCTGGTCCAATTTTTTAAAAGTGTTAGTTTACAAGGTAACAGTACGCAGAAAGACATGTCCTACCGGGAAACATTATTCTGACTCAGGACCGACCATGTTTTGCTCTTACTCAAAAATATCGCGTGCTTAGCAGAGAGTCTACCAATATTTGATTTGCACCAGCCGAGGATAGACCCAAAGACTTCCCGTAGTAGAGGCAAGCACGCTACCACAAGACCACCGAGGCGGTTATGAATATTGCAAAAACACATACATGTACATGTATATTCAAACCAAGAATATGCGGTCATAAGACACCGAGCCCCATTACATTATCACATCTCTATGTTAAGTAAACCACCTGATACAGGTAAAACCCTGATTTGGTTTATAATTCAAAAATTTTAAATTTGGAACGGGACGAATGAATGAATGGACGCACAAACTAGAAAATATAACATCCCTTTGATATCATAAGTTGTTCATGAAAATAAAAGTATCGTACTTAACAAAATTGCAATCAAATATTCTATACATGTCCGTTTTTTAGACGTATTTTTATAAGCTGAACGCCAAACATTTCATAAAACACATTTTGTGAGCAATGACCTTAAATTACGTATGCAAACGCTCCATAGAACCCATGCATCTTTATAATTAAAAAAAAACCCTGATTTTATAAAGTGTAATCATTTGCTTACTTGAAGATGCATCCTAATAAATTCCATCTTATAAAATTCTACAGAAAGATGATAAAGTGTTATCAGATACAGATACATCAGTTATCTCAATTTCTCCCTCTGACAAAAGTATCTTGAAATAATTGATAGAACTACGCGAAAAAAGATGTTAGTCGTGTAAACCCTTGACATTCGGGTGTGTTTGAAACCCCTGTTTCAACCTTATAACTTATAAATCAAAAATGAAAATATCATCTCGCTTCAGATTTCATTATTTTATTCTTTCAAACTTAATTTTGATTTTAGTAGTTTTAAGAATTCTTCCTTTGAGAACTAAATATATGGGTCAAGTGAAATGACCAAGTAATGATAAGTGCGTTTGATTACAATTAACTGGATTAATTATTCCCTTAAAAGGTTTTTGTCAATAAAATAATCCAGAATTCAATAATAAAATATGTTTTGATTTGAAATGGCAGATTAGGTTGATTTTCGAATAACATCTATTCCAACCAAATATGTGTATTCAACGAGCAAAAATATCATGCAGTCTATGCTCCCCTTCGTCATGCTTCAATGCAATAGGCCGAAATACGTTCAGATAGGTTGGTTATGTCTAGTAATGTCATTTTCTTGGAAATCTCTAGTAGCAGTGTTATTTCCATTCATAATCCTAGTTAAATCATAGGATCAACTACTTAATGTTAGGATATATGAATTTAAAAAAAATCCCCTTTTAAGACACTCCAATTGTGCAAGTGGATCTTTGGTTGGAAATGATAATGTTTGGAAAAAAAGATGATAAGATCCTAACTTGGCTTTCAAATATTCGGGTTGGAGCGTTCCTGATGAAGGTAAATCCAGAAAAGCGCTGCGGACGCATGAAATTTATAACGTGTTTTTTTTTATGATGTGTTAAGCATTAAGTAAACATCCCTTATATTTTTTTCATATAAAACAAAAGTTTAAATCCCCCTTTGAGTTTTCGATCTAAATGTGCAAGTCAGCATCTAGTTGAAAATCAGTTTGCGTGCATAGTAAGACATGAGTCCTTTATATCATACAATCAATAAGGTTCTATCTTTTTCTAGACAATTGAACTTTGTAATAAATATAAAACAAATATCAACTTACATCTCTGTGGGACCATCAATGTATATTATTACTACATTTGAGTGCAACAGATGCCAAAGAATAAAAGGGAATTAGAATAAAACATCAATTATCGGATAGAAATGAATTACTTTTTTATTTAAATATTCTTTAAAATCCGTGATCAATACAAATATCACGAAGATAATGTACAATTTTAAGCTTACACACTATGCGATACCCTTATGGGTAGTCAAAGACCTTAATCTAAGTGTAAACTACACATGTATAGACTTATCCGTACACATACTAAAAATCCATATTGAATTTTATCTCATATTGATTTTTTTTTATCAGGTTGGTATAAAAGGTGAAAAGTTTAGTCTAGTATATGAGCCAGAGGCTGCATCTATTTACTCAAGCCTTCTTCCTGTTGATAAATTAGTTGGACAAAATGATCCGGGTCGAAAATTTATTGTTGTTGATGCTGGAGGTACTATTTTAAAACTTAAACTGTTTTTATTATCCCCAACGGGTTGCGGCGCAAGTGGCATGGTAACAGTCTCTGTCCGTTCGTCCGTTCGTAACACATTCACACTCACAGACCGTTTGACATAAAACTTTCATACTTGATAGGATTATTTGTCCTCATATCCTGTTGACTGCTAAATCGTCAGTTTGATTTGACAATTTTTACAGGATTTATTGGAATGACACTTTGTGAACGCAACTCTGATCCTGTTTTACAAAACTTTTCATACTAAGAAGGATTGGTTTTGACCATATTTTACCGATATATTTGCAGGAGTAATGGTTCTTTGACCTTTTTTTTTTTTTATAGTATTGTGACATTAGAGATTTCCAATAAAATGACTTTACTCGACACAACCGACCTAACTCAACGTATATCGTCCTATTGCATCGAAGCATGACGGAGGGGAGCATACACTGCATGCATATTTTGCTCTTTGAACACGCATTTTTTGCTGATATAGACTTAATGTAAAAATCAACCCCAACTAATTTTTTTAATCTTTAAATATTTTGTTATTAAATTTTTAATGATTTTATTGACAAACAAATTTGTAATGGAATAATTAAGCTAGCAACTTGTAATCAAATACACCCATCATTTCTTGTCATTTCACTTGACCCATATTTCAGTTCTTCACAACATATGAATTTAAAAAACTACCAAGTAAATATTTAGCATGAAAATATTAAAATAATGAAATCCGAAGCGAGAAGGTTATCTCTTTTTTTGTTTTTATAAGTTTTAACGTTTAAAAAGTGGATTCCAACACACCCGAATGTAAAAGGTGTACGCGACTAACTTTAAAAAAAAATTTTTTCTATAATTTAATTCAAGATAATTTGACGTGGGCAGAAATTCATATCATTGATACATTTATCAAAAAGTGCTTTTTAGTCTTTAACTATAATAATGCATGGGACGAGGTTTTGATCATGTATACCTAAACGTGCATTCGCAGATACAGGGGTAGAGGGGGTACTCCCCCCTTTCAATTGCCAAGTAATTTTGAACATCTCACATTTTCCACGTTATCTATATACAAATGTTTAGTATAAAATCGTCCAATATTTTTTCGCGTAACTTCGCTCGGCAGTATAAATTCAATTATCGGGAACTACGCCCTCTTTCAAATATCTTGGATCCGGCCATAACCACAAATTGTATAGCACCAAAAAAAAAATAAATGATTGTCGTTTGACTTTGATAAATACGTTTTAAAAACAACAATGTTTGAACATTAGACATCTCGCACGAGATTTAGAAGTTTAAGACTACATACTGAATTGGATTTTTTCCTGGATTTAGAGCTCACTTAACACGGAAATGTGATACTGGCGTGTAATCTAATGTACACATATTCTTGTTTCTGATGTTTCTTTTAATATAAATATTCATTTATTTAGTTATATATAATCCCACTAACTAATAATTATGTATCTTTTACTGATAAGTTATCATTACATTTTATAGAAACTACATATAATCTGCTATACAGTTATGAACACTAATGGTCCTACAGACACTCTGTGCTTTTGAAATGACACAAGGTCTTGCTTTTCTAGAGTGTTTATGTACTCTTTTACTTAATTTGCGATATGTACAAAAAAGAAGATGTAGTATTATTACCAATGAGACAACTCTTCACAAGAGACCAAATGACACAGAAATTAACAACTATAGGCCACTGTACGACCTTCAACAATGAGCAAAGCCCATACCGAATAGTCAGCTATAAGAGGCCACAAAATGACAAATGTAAAACAACAAAAACGATAAAACTAACGGCCTAATTAATGTACAAAAAAATGAACGAAAGCACAGCAACAAATGATAACCACTGAATTACAGGCTCCTTACTTGACACTCACATCCATACATAATGTGGCGGGGTTAAACATGTTAACGGGCCTGGTGTAACAGTACGAAATAATTGATTAATATTCTAGACTGCATAATTATTCTGTATTTATTAGTTGTAGTTGTTTTTAAGATAGTGTTCAGTAGCTGTGAATACTCTAAGATCGGTACATGGAGTTTATTTTGAAATTCTAGTAATTGCTGTTTTTGTGCTTCTTTTTAGTCGGACGAGTCAATCGCTTTCTTACTGTTTTAATTATGAGTAGACATGATCATTTGATAAACATACTTCTATGATCTCTATTGGCTTTAACTTGGACATTTATAAAAATTATGTAGCAAAGAGATGCATGCATAAAATAAGTTCTCGACATAAATTGGCTAAAATATCAGATAAGAATTTAGCCTCAAGCTATAAAACTTACAAGCTATAATTAATGCGACGAAGATTAAGCCTCAAACTATAATACTTATGATGATGATGATGATACTGATGTATGTCTTATATCCAGCGACAAATATTACATATATATTAAGGATGATGAAATGATAGCGATTCGCTGGATCTAATTGTCCAACAAAATAATTGAACCCGTAATCGAGGCTGGCCTGCTACCAGTCAATTCCATATTTAATAAAAACCTGTTCATATATTTTATGCTTTAAGTGCATATAAAGTGCATATACTATTAGTCTAGCACCACTTGTTTTGTTTTGATATCACTTTTTGTTGCATAATTTGTTTGATTTTTCTCCTTGTTTCTTTGTATCAAAAAGCTTAGTTTTTATTGTAAAATGGTGTTCCACAGCTTCCATTATCCTTGTGACTTGCTATTGTACTGATATCCAGTAGGCATGCAATTAATATTCTAAATAGTTAAAAAAAAATTTTAACAAGTAGAGATTACCCCGTTTTGATCCAGACTTCCTTACCACTAGCATATACGATACATACACTGACAAAATATTGTACCCGCACTCATATTACAATCATCCTGTCTGTCCGTCCGCCAGTCTGTCCGTTCAACAAATATTTTTAATTTTCTCTTCAAAACCATTAGTATGCTTAGCATGCATTCTTTTGTCGATTTATTCCTTACACTCCTGAGGTCAAACTATCAAACAGAGTCCAAATGGTGTGAATTACGACTACAGTGGCTCGTGCTGTCGTCAACAATAAGCAAATACTCATACCGTATTATCAGATACTAGTATATAAGGCATTGACTTTGAAAAATGTAAACTTTTCAAACGAAAATAAACATTTTTACAAGAGTAAAATTAACACAAAAATGACAGAAAGTAACCAACGACATCCACTGAATTGAAAGCATCTGACTTGGGAAAGCCAATATAAAATTTGGCCTGATTAAACGCGTTTACCAGCGCTCGACACTCTGGTGTAACAGCACAATATAAGAAAAAAAAACCTGTAAAATTCAGTTGGAAATAGCTCAACTAATCAATATTGAATTAAGCCCAAAACAATCACATTTTTATGATGAAAGACACAGAATACCGATCTTCAAGTACTCCCAGGTACTGAAAGCTTATTCTTAAATGTTAAATTACCTGAGAATATTAAACGTATTTAGTTAAAAAAAAATAATAAGGAGATATGGCATAATTGCCAATAAGAAATGAAGTTGATGTAAGCAATGATAGGCAACCGTACGGCCTTCATCAATGAGAAAAATCCATACCGTATAGTCGACTATAAATGGAACCAACTTGAAAAATATGAAACAATTCAATTGAGAAAACTACCGGCCTGATTTAAAACAAAACAAGTTACGAAAAACAAATATAACAGATATGAACCAACGACAACAAGTAAACCACAGGCTCCTGACATGGGACAGACACATAAAGAATGAGTGCTCTACCCCCACCCCCTAAGCCTTGGACAGTGGTGCAACAGCACGACATAAGAACAACCTGTAAAAACCTTCCTTCAGAGAGCTTGGTTTACACATATATACATATTCAAAGTAATTATTGATATAAAATGTGTTTTCAGCCGTATATCACCTTCAGTGGTGATCCTATGCATGGATATGTCGTAGAGTTTAACTTTTATATATAAATATATACCTCTAATGCGAGACAAAAATTGAAACTAAACATTTTTGCTTAACTCAATCAATATGTGATACTTTTAGAATCCACTTCTAGTTGGATTAGTAAGAGTTGTCTTAATCCAAAAACAACTATGACAATATCAAGCCTTACTTATTAAAAGTACGTGTTAAAAAGAAAATTACTGTAAAGACTGAAGTGGCAATATAGTTGTCTTAAAAGTGTAACAAGTATATAAATTGGCATTTTCGTCCACTTTTAATCAGAGATACCTGGGACAGGACATTTTTTTAGCCAATTACTATGAACTATTAATTGATATTTTACTATCCACAGCGGTCAATGTTTATATGCAGATTAGTCATCAATTGCTAATAAATCACACCTTCCAAATTACAATCTATATAACGAATTGGTGTACACATTTATTTACATATATCATTATATTATTAATTACAAAATTCTTCTTTTTTAATGTTAGTTGACTTTTATTTGAAAGAAAAGTGTATGTCAACTATTAAAATTTAAAGAAGTACAGGACATGTATTAATTATTTTTAAATATACACATCCCTTTGTCGAACGTTTTCCCTTGGGGAAAAAAATCGGAGATTGTAAATAAACAAGATTAACTGCAGAAGAAGATATTGTTTAAAATGATGCTTAATAAAGTATGATGCAATCCCAGTTATCAACTTTAACAGAGACAAATTCTGACTAACACTTTGAATTCGATATTTCTGAAATTGCTTGAAAAATCTCTGTCATATAATAAATACCCTAGGAAATTAAATATTATAAAACATTAAGAGACGAAAGGAAAAAGGGACACCAATCTGATAACGACAAATAAAAGCATGTCAAATATTAAATAATAAAAGGTTCATTAGCAAAGTATATCGAAAACAAAGTCATGGTCAAAACCATGAAAGACAACTCCAATCAATCGTATGATAGGTAAAGATACGTGTATATACGTGGTCTTATGACAGTGAAGTTTTGGCGGGAATCTCAATAATCACGTGATATATAAATATCATGATTTCTTTCGTTTTTCATCATCTTAGAAATACTTGATGTTGATAAAATTTATCCTGAATGGGTTTTATAGTTTAAGAATACTAAGTTAAAACTTGAATGACGCATTTAACAAAATTAATAGGTTAGCAATAACCGGTCCCGTTACGTGCGTACGTCGAGTTAGGTACGTATGTCATTTTATTGGAAATCTCTAATAACACCTTACGAACGCAACTTCTTTGATGCCGTTTTATAGAAAGCTTTCGTACTTTGTAGGATTGTTTATTATTACATTCTGGCACTTTGATCCGACCATCTATACGAAAGTTGTTTGACTTTGACTGTTTTTTTGAGTATTGTAATAGTGTCACCTTGTGAACGCAACTCTTCTGAGACCGTTTGACAGAAGTTTTCATACTTTCTAGGACTGTTTGCCATCATGTGTAGTTGACCATATTATACGGTCGTTTTGATTTGATCATTTGTATGGAATGTATCGGACTCTACCATATTTTGACTATTGTACCACAATGGCGCATTTCATTCCTTATTTTTACAGCACGGGGACATTTCGCTATGGCTTAACAATCTTGTTTATATTCTTAATTATCAAATTTTGTAATTTTGTATGTTCATGTAACACTTGGACCTACAAAGAACAAAATCTTGTTTCTTAAATAATGTCAGAATATTATAGACTTGAACTTAATGTAAAGAGTATATCTGTTTTTCACCAGTAAAAGACAGTATAATAGGTTAGATACAGTACAGTAACAGTGTTTGAAACAAATATAAAGTGATCTTGAAGGATGAAAATCTTGACCCAAACATTTCGGTATCGGGACAAAATCGTTTGAGCAATGTCCTTTTTTGATAATTTACCATGCGGTGAGAATTTTTTTTTTTAATTTTCAATTTTTGAAGTTAATGTGTCAAAAATCGAGGTTACAACAGTTTTTGATAAACTAAAATTTGGACAATGTTTTAATTTTCGGATGTTATTTGTTAACTTTTACCAAAGTCGGTATGATTTTGCCCCAAAAGATGAATAAGACCCGTATTAATTTTGATGTCACTATATCAAAGGTCAAGGTCAAAGTTTTTATTTATAGACTGACATTTAGACCATATTTTGGTTTAATGTGGTATCAACATTTTGGGTCAGTAGTTAAAGGTAAAGGTCACAGTACCTAGAATTATATTGAAATTTAGAAAAAAAATTATTCCGGACAATGTCTTTTGAGTTAGATCTTCACCAATCTTTTGTGGATAATGTGACACGGAGTTAAAAAAAAAACATTTTGATTTTGAAGCCAATAGAACAAGGGTCAAGATAACAGCAGTAATTGATATACATTGTAAAGGATTTTGGGATAATTTTGATTTACGGATACTAATTTTTTGTTGTTAAATATCCAACCTTCACCAATCTTAATTTTAGTAAGTCCCTTAAAAAGAAAGAGATTCCAATTGTTTATTTGGGGGGTCAGGAATATGGTAAAGGTCAAATCTTTCGTGGACATTGTGCCTTGTGGATGAGAAGATCTCTATTCATTTTAGGGTCACTTGGTCAAGGTCATTGTTGCATTAGCAGTTAATAGACTGAAACGGAACTATTTTGTTTTCATCATGTTAAATGCCTTTTCAGTCTTCATCGACAAAAACAAAACAAAAAAAGTTCCCGACTCAACAATCTGCTACAAATCCATGTATATATCAACACGGCTTCTGCACCCCTGGTGTTTCATATTTTTTGTCTATTTCTATATTAACATATTCTTTACTATAATCTGTTCAGTTCTATAAGTATATTTTTCTAACTTTTTGATAGGTGGTACCGTAGACATTTCTGCTCAACAAGTTTTAGAAAACGGTGAGCTCAAAATAATTCACAAAGAATGCGGTGGTCCATGGGGTGGTGAATGCATAAACAAACAATACGTAAATATGCTTAAAGAACTTTTCGGAAAGGAAGTTATGAATAAGTTTAAAAGGAACAACGGAGAAGATTTCTTACAACTACTGAGAGATTTTGAGGTAAAGAAAAAAATGTTTCGAGTGGTAGACGAGGAATCACTAACCATTCGCATGCCTTTAAGTCTGATTGAACTGTTCCTTGATATTGAAGAATCAGACGTTCAAACAGCTATTGCAAGTTCAAGATTTAATGAAACTGTTCGACTTAAACGAGACAAACTATCTATTGCAGGTTCTTTGGTTGAAACATTTTTTTCTGAAACCATACGAACGATCATTGATGAAGTAGTATCCCTACTGAAACACGAAAGATGCTCTGATGTAAGTGTAATAATGATGGCAGGTGGTTTTTCAGAGGATGACACATTACAACATGCAATTAAAAAGCAATTCCCATCGTTGGAAGTGTTTATACCAACAGATGGAGCGCTTGCGGTATTGAAAGGGGCTGTTATTTATGGCCACAATCCAAACGTTGTATCATCAAGAGTATGCTATTATACCTATGGCATTGCTATTTCTAAAGCATTCGACCCAAGTATTCATGATCCGGAAAAAAAGGTTCTCAGGGACGGGAGAGAAATGTGCAACAATCTTTTTGAAGTTCTTTTTGAAATTGACGAAGAAGTTCGTATTGGACAAACTAAAAAAATTGATGCGTCAAAAACTTTTCTTTCAGATTATATGCAAATCCGTAGATATGATCCACTTAAATGTCAATTCATGGTAAGTAATAAAAAAGACCTTTTCTACACTACAGATGAAGGTTGCAAGGAACATGGATCCATACTTATCTCTCCGCCAAATGGAATGTGGCCACAAGTAGTCCAAGGCCAAGTATTACTCAAAATTGCTGGAACAGAGCTTGTCGGAACGCATGTAGATAAAGATACACTTGAAAAAATGTCCGTTAGATTTGAATTTCTTCCTCTGCCGTCAATCAGCAAAAGCCCGGAGAGAAAAAGGTTGTTTGACCCGTTCTATTTAGACATTTAACATTGATTTAAACTTAATATTTATGACAGGACTGATATTTAAGTTTTTACATGCTATCACAATCTTGTCCAATATTTTCAAGTTTCAGCCAAAACGGAGTAGCTCGTGAAGATAATTGGCGCAAAGTCATTCAATTGATAATAAAATTATAACAGATTTGTTTATAGTGCATTTCTTTTATTAGCACACATGTGTGCATACTTAAATGCTTATAACACATAGTTCATTAGTTACATATTAGATAACAAGCACTTATTTGAATTGGATAAATAAAGTAAACACAACTATGAAACTTGTTTCAATTGACCGAAACAGCAAAATAATATAACTAAATAACAATGGTCGTGTTTCAGATGGCTAAACCTATATTCTATCTTAAAATCAGTAATCTCTTTTACAAATAACAGGTATACAAGTTAATTAGTTTTGCTTTAGTTGTGTAATATACAATGTCTTCTGGTATCCTTTCTCTTTTTTAAAAGGTTAATATGAAATATACTGTTCACCTCACAGTTCAATATTTTTTTTAGAGGGGAGGGGGTCATCTTCGCGTTCTGCGATATAAGTTTACGTCTATTTCACAGGTGCTTGGGGCATAAACCCTCCTTTTTTCTTTTCTTTTTTTGTGTTGATTTTTTTTTTCGTAAACATGTTTTAATATTTTAACTTGAAGCATGTGAATTAATGTCAGGAAAATTTTACTTTCAGACACGAAGATGAGCTGAGATGGATGGAATGTCTTGCACATGTCCGTCCATCCGTATATATGTTATAAACTTTTTTACTATTTCTCCTTACAGTTTTAGAACCGTTTTGTTTTACGAGGATGATATTTTAATGAAAAATACTAGAGTAATTATTGAAAGTAAGAAATGACAAGCTGGTTATGCTTTTATTAAAGGGAAAAATAAAATAACAGTGTGTTTAATCAATATGAAACGTAATAAGGGAGTAATAAATATGCAAAAAAAAAAAAAAAAAACAATAAAAAAAAAAAATAAATAAAGGTTCTGAAGCCATTTTAGCTTCAAATCGTACTTCTCCTTTATTTTAGGTAGACATTATACAATTTGGATGTTTAGTTAACGAAAATACATTTGTTTTAAAGTTTTGTTTATCAAAAAATATTATTGTTTTATAGTTTATTTTAATCTTTCTGTGATGTATTTCGGTCAGAACGTAGGTCAAGTGATAATCATATGCCTGTGTCGCTCACCTGATATTTATATTTACAATTGATGCATGAAATAATGCAACCGTTATATATTTGCTTTAGTTTCAGAGACATAAGTCAAAAACTGCATTTCCCCCCTAAGTTCTGTTTTTAGCCATGTCTGACATGTTGGTTGGCAGTCAGGGTCATCGGACACATTTTTTAAACTAGATACCCTAGCGATGATTGGGGCCAAGTTTGGTTAAATTTATCTCAGTTGTTTCAGGAGAGAAGATTTTTGTAAAAGATTACAAATATTGACTATAGAGGGCAATAACTCCTTAAGTGGTCAATTGACCGTTTTGGTCGTGTTGACTTATTTGTAGATCTTACTTTGCTGAACATTATTGCTGTTTACAGTTTATCTCTATCTATAATAATATTCAAGATAATAACCAAAAACTGCAAAATTTCCTTAAAATTACTAATTCAGGGGCAGCAACCCTACAACGGGCTGTCTGATTCATCTGAAAATTTCAGTGCAGATAGATCTTAACCTGATGAACATTTTTACCTCATTGCTCTAAATTCTTTAGTTTCAGAGATATAAGCCAAAAACTGCATTTTACCCCTATGTTCTATTTTTAGCCATGTCGGCCATCTTGGTTGGCAGGCAGGGTCATCGGACATATTTTTTTTAAACTAGATACCCTAGTGATGATTGTGGCCAAGTTTGGTCAAATTTGGCCCAGCAGTTTCAGAGGAAAAGATTTTTGTAAAAGTTAACGGATGACGACGATGGACGACGACGGACGACGGACGACAGACGACGGACGCCAAGTGATGAGAAAAGCTGCCAATCAAAACCATAAGCCGAGGAAGACGGACAACATCATGGACTATACGAACAAGCGAACAAAAGTAACAATACATTGTCGTATACTAATTCATATTATTAAAGTACATTTCATTCCGCTGTAAAGTTCGTTAACTTTTCTCGTTTTATAGAAAAAAAACTAATATACTGCAAAATTATTTTTTTAATACATTATAAGACGGAATGATAAAGACAAAATAAATACAATTTGATAGATTTAGATGAGCATTTTTTTATTCATTCATTGGTATGTCAGTGTTTAAATTGAGTACATAGCTGAAAAGAAAAACGTAAAAAAAGGCCCTGGTATATGTTGTGGATACATAATTGATTTGTTTTAACCCCAAGAGACGTCTATAAGCTGAAGGTTTGATAACAATAAATACCATATTTCACAAGCAAACGGCATATGCCGATAATCTTTAATTTCGGGTTAGTGAAGAATAAGGACACATTTTGGCCCCTTGAATACGAAAATCAAGAAAAGGTGCCAATATCTTCCCTTCTTACTGATTTTTCTGGTCCATCATCATTATTTTATTCTAAGAATGAATAGTTTTACACAACTTGAGAAATCATATTTATGTCGAAAACAATTAAAACGCATTATAAATTTATAAAGTAACAAATATGAAGGTAAGGTGGGCATGGGAACACATGTTTGATAATAAACTCATCATAGATATACAAGGACTATAATTGTGTACACCAGATGCGCGTTTCGGCTACAAAAGACTCACCAGTGATGCTCGAATTGAAAAAGTTAAAAAGGCCAAATTAAGTGCAATTTGAGGAGCATACAACATGTAATTAGCTATATGAAGAATTTTATATAGGAAACACTAAAAATACTAGTTGTAGCGTGTCATTGGTTTACTTAATTAGGTACGTCAAAAAAGGATATTTTGCAAATATTGCTTAACACAGCTGAAATCTCTATGAATTATTCAATTGTACAAGTTATTACTTGTTCAAACATTTTGTAAAAGTTATTACTTGTTCAAACATTTTGTACAAGTAATTACTTGTATGATGCCATCATACAAGTTATTACTTGTACAAATACAATAGCACAAATTTACTTGTACAATTTCCTTCGTGTTCAGTTTTCTAATAAAGGAATTGATGCTATCAACATCTGCAACGGTCTTCATCACAAAGAGGTAACATCTAAAATTCTACTTTATTTTCAATATCAGTTTGTTCCTATTGTATCCTACAGTTACACCAAACCCATTGTACCTAAAGTATTTAACTATAAGCTAGCTGACCTTGATTTATGATAATACCTAAAAAAAAAAATCCTCTGACATGTGACTGATCCAACTCGCCTAATATTTACAGCCCCTCTGGCCATGTTATTACTGGGATCGAAACATAATCAACATGAACATCTTCGAACCGTGATATCTCATGGTCCTTAGTTCAGAGAACCATTACACTTCAATTGGAACCATAATTTCAAAACAATTATGGATTTCATTGAGGACTACGCCAGAGTATGGGGTAAACGAGAAGAAGTTGAACGGGATACTTTGTCAGAATGGGTCAAACCGCTATAAAACCAGGTTCAATCCACCATTTTCTACATTTGAAAATGCCTGTACCAAGTCAGGAATATGACAGTTGTTGTCCATTCGTTTGATGTGTTTTGTCATTTGATTTTGCCATGTGATTAGGGACTTTCCGATTGAATTTTCCTCGGAGTTCAGTATTTTTGTGATTTACTTTTTTCTAAACAATCAGGTCTGATAAAACGTCAAATCCATAAGTTCAAAAACTGTGTGAATGATCGACCAAGTCGTATACAGAGACAAAAAAGCTGTTAAATGTCACGATGAATATGTTGTTGTTCCTGTGGACAATGCTTCAAATAATGATACCCCATGGATCAAACTTCTGTGGTGTATAATGTTTTTGACCAGTTCGTCCGTCTGTCAGTCCTTCAGTCCGTCCGTCCGTCCGTCCGTTCGTCCGTTCGTCCGTTCGTCCGTCATTCCTGTCCTTGTCATCGCAACTCCTCTGAAACCGTACAACAAAATTTCATGTTTGAAGATAATTAGGACATACTATGTAGATGTGCATATCCACCGGAAATTATGATTCATTTTTTGTAGGAGCTTTGCCCCTTTAAACTTTTGGCCTATATAAACTACTGCAACAGTTTGTCATCAAAACTTCTGTGAAACCAAACTACAGAATTTCATGAAACTATAGATAATAAGGAATTTTGGCCTAAATATATTACTGCAACAGACTGTCATTGCAACTCTTCAAATAATAATCATTTTTTAAATTGATATGGCAATATAACAGTACAATTATATTTTCCAGATGAATTTCAACGTTTTAAGGAAAAAAAGTAAGATTTTCTATGTAAAAAACGACTGAACATCTCAAAATTATATTTTCAAATATTTTTAAATTACTCAATTTAAAATAGGAAGTTAAAACGCTTTCAAAGGAAGGAATTTACTAAAAAAAAAAAATGTAAAATATAGCGGACTTTCTTTTGTAATACAATGAATTTAAGGTTAAGATAACAACATACATTATAAATCACAATTATCTTAAAAAAATCTATGCTTAGTGAGTAATATTAAGTGTTCATTAAGCAGCATTGACAGTTGTCGACATAAATGCAATTACGCTGGTGAGAGTTGTATGAATCTAACGTAAAGATAATTAAGTTATAAAAAAAATTTAATCCTTTACTATGAAATGCATCAAGGTACTTCTTAAGTTTGATTTGTTTTGTAAAACCTCCTGATGCACAGGTGCTCCTTATTTTGTTTTGTTGCACGTTTGGTTTTATTTTGGCTTATTGATATTAAACGTTTGATGCTGCTTAATTGCCGCTATCTTATTTTGAGCATGATCACGATAAATACAATTTTGAAATGCTTGACTGTTTGGCACATCAAATTTATTTCGTGTTTTAAATAGTCTTTCCTTTCTGTAGCTGCGAGTTAACATATTGGATATTTTTGATTTTATTCCGCAACACAAATATCCAAGGAGGAAGCTGTACTCATGATTTTAATTACTAGCTTGTATTTGCAGATCATATATGAAACTTACGTAGTATACTTTGACCATCATTGTGGATATCGTAATTATATTTGATGTGTGAAAGTCAGTTAAAGAGTAGTTAAATATCACATAATTTTACAGAATGGAGTTTTACAAGTAGTATAATTTCATTTTTGCGGTGAATTATGTCCAGTTCTCATCTATAACAGTTCTCTACAGGTAACATCAGGCCAAATTTCTACTAATTGTAGGATTATAACAAGGTTGCATTAGATTTTTGACACTCAAATTGTTAAAA